AAAATGCAAATATGGCAGCGGAAATCGATAAGCTGAACAAATCATTCACCATGGTCTACGAACTTATTGACAACAAAATGCTTGCACTACATACCGCCGTTGATAAAGAGATGAGGGATCTTTCTACCAAAGTAGAAGAAAGGATAAAAGAACAAGCTAGTCGCACAGAAGATAGAATGAAAAAAATATTTGAAGAGAGGTTGGTAGAAGTTGAAAGGAAATTAAACACAAAGGCTGACAACATCGACACTGAATACTTGACCGTACACGGTAAAGATAAAGAACCGGAACCACATGGTGAGTCCGACAAATCTTACACTGTTTCGATGGCCGATTCAGATTACGTTTCACCAAAACGTAAACACTTGGCCAGTAAACAACAAAGTCGTGGTGATTTTGTTTTAATTACATCCAACAGTTTTCCAGCCGAACTTGCGAATGAGACTGAAGAACAAAGTAATCTTACTAACATAGCCACCACCAGCGACACAGATAACCATATCGTAACTGAAGAACACAAAGACATCAATACCCCTAGCAACCAGGAAAATAAATCAAAGGACATATACCTAGAAAATAAGCCATTGAATAATAATAGCACAGAAGTAAAGAAACTACTCATTGGTGACTCGTTAACTCGTGACATTTCAATTCGCCGTTTTTTTCCCCGCACACAGGCTGACCATCTACGCATATCTACTCTGAGAAAGGCTAGCCATGATTTAAACAAAGTACAATCGACTACGGTAGATGAAATTATAATACACCTAGGTACTAATGACTTGAAAGACGGTACATCGCCTGAAAATTGCCGTAATTTCGTCATGGAAATAATCAAAATAGTCAACACAAATTTGCCAAACGCCAAGATTATTTTTTCGGAAATATTACACCGCCAGGACAACAACACTATTCTGAATAGGAAAATTGCACACTTCAATTCACTACTCAAAGAGATTCACGCTATAACTGTTATTGAACACGACGTTCTCTCAAAGTCGCGTAATTTGTATGAAGAAGATGGCGTACACATTAACAGCAGCGGAGTCGCTCGTCTAGTTCGTGACATAAGACTTGTGATTCGCCC